CAATCACTCTGCTTAAATCACCCGCAAACCATGGTTCGACCCATCGCGCAAAATTCCAGTTTGCGAGCGCAAATTACTGCACGCAAAATTGGATCTTGATAAATCCTGCCCTTACTGCGCTATAAAAATTCCACATTTTGGCACTTTGATTCTATTAAATCCTCTGAAAACCTACAACCTATAGCTGCAGCTATCCTCAGAGCCTTTGAATCGAACCATGAAAAATTTTGCCTGTCCAAATTCTTATTACATCTCACTCCAAGGTTTGTTGACAAGTTGCCCGCCCTGCATTTACAATAAGAGGAAAACATCTTAGCTTCTCCAGCAATGGAGGTCCCAGCAAATCCAGTTTCAATTTATGTAAAACACTTAAAATATTGAAGAGGAAATAACTCAAGCAAACCAACAGCTAAATCACACTGGAGGGGTCTCAGTCAGCTTGTCAACTCTCCTATAAACTCATATTTAATAGAGAACAAAAATGACTTGCTCAGAAAGGTTAACAGGAGACTATTCTCTATGCAATAATATAGCAGAATGAATACAATTTAAATCTAAATAAACATCAGGACTTTTGAAATGATCCCCTGTGGACAGCTGAGTTGTAGAAACTTCTATGTCAATAGAAATTTTTAAGATATGTGTTTAAGTTTGGGCTTATTTTAACAGCCACACAACCAAACACCTTCAGGATGACCAGAATCATTCTGTTCACTAATGTATCAAAGTACAATATATAATTGGGAGGTTCACACTTTCACAATAGCTGAATTCACTGCCAATGTTAGTTTTATTTTACCTTCACAGAAAATTGCCAGATAAAATGATAAAAAAATAATAATAATAATTAGAGTACTCTCAGTGTTCTTAAAAAAAAAAAAAACAGATAAAAAAAAAAGACTTTACACTTTTGAGCAAGTAAAATTAAAGCATTTTTTTCATTGCAGAATGCACACTTGTTTTTTCTGGTTGCATTTTTTTAAATGACTTTTTATTTCAGAAAGTAACTACACTTTGGATCACAGTGACAGCTTAATTCAGGTTAAAGTATGAAGTGGCTTTTCGCTTTGCTTAATGAGTGCATGTCAAGCCAAAATGTGGAGAGAGCCATTAGCTGCAAAATGTGAGGCTCCAATCTGACAGGTAATGGTTTCAAACCACAGCTTTAACTCTCAAAAAATCCCAACAAAAAATCTGGTGCAATAGTTAAGCTGTTCTGAAAGCTTCCTGTTTCTTTCTTTTTTTTTTTTTTTTTACTTTTCAGTTCAAAAGAAAAAGTTTGGGCTGCTGGGTTTTTAGAATCAATGAGCATCCTCTGCTGCTTTTCTCCCACACTCAGGACTTTAGTTTGTTTGGCTGTTGGGAACTGACAGAAACCTGACATCAAGCTTCAGAAAGTGGAGCTGTGCAGCCAGCATGACCGAGGTCAGGCAAAACCTGACAGTAACGGCTTACAAAATAAAAAACTTGTTTTATCAGAAAGCATAACAAGGCATCTGCAACAAGGAACAATGAAAGCTGAACAGTTTGTAAAACATGAAGGTAGAGTTTACATATGCGTATTCTCAGATTTCCATCTTTGTAGGGACTGAGACCTGGATTCAGTATAAAGATTTTACTTGTTCATGATGAAGGTTCGGACTGTGCATGTTTGTGGGTTTCAGTTCTCTGTTTGAGGGAGCGATACAGAGATGGTTAAAGAGAAACAGGCAGGTTTAAGAAACAGCAGACATAATATGTGGCTCATGTGTTTTTTGTCAAGCTTTGTTTTAAACATTGAGTTTTGTATTTCCAACATGACTTGGCCACAAAAGAGGCTTAAATCAGAGACACCTGGACTTTCACTTCCTTGTCTCCAATTTAAACATGTTTTGTGGTTGCCATTACCTATAGGAATTTGGTCAGATTTAGCCCAGACTGGATTCCAGAGATCGGAGACATATTTTTTCTCATTTCCTATGTGTTGTAAGTTTCTTTCTAATGGTAAGTTTAAATTACTATTTTCCTGAGTTTACCAACAGTAATTATGATTCTTAGTCTTTGGAACTGGGGAAAAATAACCAAAGTTCACAATAACATTCCTCTAAAGAAAACAATGAGATAATTGTAAACATGGTTTGAGAAATTCTAGTTTTGTAAGCCTGTGCATTCTCAGTCATCCGGTTTCATCATTGTAACTACAAATCAGGCTTAAATCTGAGTCAACCAGATTTTCGGTCAGTTTTTCTGAAAGCATTTTGAATCTTATCCAGGGGTCATTGTCAGTACTGTGCTCTAGTTTGAGCCGAGCTGCTAAAGCTGTGCCTTTAGCACACAGAGCTGACAAAGATTCCTGGATAGGTGTTGAAACGTATTTAGTAAAACTTTGCGCAAGTCTGGTCATCTCCGACTTAAGGCTGCTTTGAGCTCCTTGTCTTATCCATTTATGTTTGCTCCCTGCTAGCATTTTGCATTTATATTCCGTTTCTACAGCTGTTGAAAGCCCACTCTATGTGAGCGAATCTAAGTTAACTTTACTAGTGATCATGAAAGCCATTAAAAGGAAATGTTCAACACCAAATTACTTGTTCATGTGGCACAAAAGCCAATATCTTAAAAAACTGGCAAAAGTATTCACACAAGCTCACATTTGTAAACTCTTTTTATTGTGAATTAAAAAATCTACGTATAATCTATTAAAAAAATCGATATATACGTATATATATATATATATATAT